ACACACACACACACACACACACACACACACACACACACACACTTTAGTTGTATGATTCAACTAAAAAGATGAGAAACAGCAAGATAACTGCAAGGGAGGCTCATCCAATGCTATCAACTGAAAGCTGTCGTAGCTGTGTTTACGTACCTCCATGAGAAATGACTCTTTTGTAGGGTTCAATGCACTTCATATCAATGCGGTGCTCCTGCTCTCCGATCACCACGCTCCTCCACAGCCTGCTTTCCTCTGCTGCTCTGTGGCCTGGATCTCTTGATGCCGCTCCGGCACCCAAAACGGACTCCTCTGAGTCCCCTGAGGTGACATAAGATCGAATCAAATACATATTAACAGTTTGATTTTAATTTAATAGACAACATATAGTGGAGAGCTGATGGGCCAGTAGTTTTGACACGAGACTGACAAGCTGTGTCTTTACTTTTTTCACATTTTACCCTTAACTCCTATCTGTAAAAATTGCATGCTGTAAAAAACCTGTAAAATAGTCTTTGTATTTTTTAATTGTGGCTGTTCCAATGAGAATGTGTCTGCTGTCACCATGTTTATTAAGTTCCAGTGAGTCGGCCTCGTCAGGTGTGTCCAACTCATCTAAGTTGACATCCAGGTCATCCCCAGTATCCAAGCCGTCATCCTCTGTATCCAGGGTGTCTTCTGAAAGAAGAGACCCCTCACTGTGGTCCAGGGACACGTTCATTGGTGGAGCTGCCAGCTTTCTTCTTTGATTGGACCCGCCAGATATATCAGCTGAGGAGGGCTGGTCTGTGCAGAGAAAGTCATTTGTTTATAACTTTTTTTTTCCACTTTCATTTTTTGATCATTTAAAGATTATCATATGAACACCTTATATGAAAATAAATGTTTTTATTTATTTATTTTAAATCAACAAAAAATTCATTTTAAGGATCTTTGGTAAATCCTCCTAAATGAAGAATCCTTTTGATTAAAATGTCTGTCTGTCCATCCATCTGAATGGGCACTCTCTTCAGGCTGAGAACCATGGTCTTATTGATGGCAATGCTTTGGTTGAAAGTGATTAAATGGCTTTTAGCATTGAGCCAGATGCTCTATACTCCTGAAACACCCCAAAAGGATATTGCGTGGGACGCAGTTAAATGCCTTTTCTGAGTCAACAGAACACATAGATTGACGAGGAAGAATGCGGTGCTCATTGTGGGGGTGGAACACTGAACTAGCTCTTAAACGCCTCGAGGATATTTGAGTGTGTGAGAAATTTTTTCCCAAGCAGTCTGAGGTTTGACTAACTGACATACTCTCCTCTCTAGTACCACGTCATTTAACAGGTTATAAGTGATTCACCTTGCTGGCACAGAATACCATTTTAAGCCTGTCAAACTTTGTTATTTAAAGAAATGGGGGCAGATTATGTACCTCTGTGACAGGGCTGCTAGTAACAAAGTAATGAAGACATCATTTAAAATGAATGATTCAGTCAGTGTTAAGTGTTAACAAACAAACAGTTCCTGTGAAAATGATGAGGTACAATGAGGGGACTGAAATTAAGTGAAAGTGCAGTGAATGTCCACAGATGTTTGCAGAACTACTGTTTGTCTCCGCAGAAGTAAAATATAAAGAAATGCAATTGTGCACAGTACAATCAAATTTATAGAAAATCACGCAAACAATGCAAACGTTTAACTTTGTGTTTAATTACCTTCTTTGTTTTCCTTGTCATCTGTAGCGTCTTCATTGGATGCCATCTTCATCATCATCCCAGCTGCACCAACTTCCTGTTGGGAGTGTCTGCTCACAGGCTCAGAAATACAATAGTGAGCCACAACATAAATTATCATTGCTACAACCACTGCCACCAGAGGCACAACTACACAAAGTATTGGGCCAAACAAGCCAAATACAATCATCTATATAGTGAAAAGCACTAACTGTTCCCATGACACTGAATCCGAGCGAGTGTAAAATGTGTTTGTTTGACTCAGGACATGAAATAATTTAGAAGTGACAAAGCAGACAGAGAGAAACGCACTCACTGCTTCATTCCCAAGCTGCACGTGTGGGCTGAAGAAACAATGCTGAGCAGTGTTGGAAGCTCCCCCCTCCCTAAACTAAAGCCCCTCTAACAGACCCTGATTTGAATAAGGCCTCTAACAATAGAGAGAAGCAACATAGAGAGAGCACTTACATATGATTATATGCACAGATGTGCAAAAGGTTTTCTTTTTCCCTTTAACAAAACCTCCATCTTATGGGCTTCTACCTTTCTCTCAACCTGTCTTCTCTGAACACGAGTGACTGAACCTCTCTCCCCACTATCAAGTCACATGACCACTTGATTATTGAAAAGCCTATTGTGCGTGTATGGAAACTCACAGGCACACAAACCAAATGAAAGACAGGGGAGAGCTGTGTATCCCAAAGAGGCCGCACATTATCAGAATTACAAAGTGGAGCAAAACACAAACCATTATGAAAAATCTGACCTGCAATAATCACACACATACTGAAATGAACAGGATGCATGCACAGCCACATGTGAAACACATGCATACAACCTAGAGACTGATTACACAACTTGACTTTTGTTTTTTTAAAACCTTCCCTTAAAAACCCTTACAGGTATATTTATCTACATATTCACTACTATATGTACATAAAGGACTATATTTTGCTAACTGTACATTAGAAATGACCCCATTTCTGCTTATATAATCATTTTTTTAAATGTATAAAACCTATAATATGGTGCAGTCACTCTTTACATTGGAACTACTATGCTTTTCGTGCTTTGGATAATACTGCAATGTCCTTGATCCTTGTAATGCCTTATACAAGTGCAGTGGAGTCAGATTTGGGTTCTACGTAGTAAACAAAATTTGAGACCACTGGACCATTTTCATTTTCCAGTTCTTATGGTTTTTAGTGCAAAAACACATTTAGCCTAAAACATGAGTAAAGAGAATGATGAGAAGAATATGAGCCTTGCTGCTTTGACCACTAAAAAAAGAACTACAAGATTGATCTATGCTGCCACCTTGTGGTTCAAAACAACATTGCATGTGATTTTTTTCTAGTCTGTTTAAAAAGACCAGTGATAGAAAATCTTTACTAAGCAAGGGGTAGACATAAGAAGGGTCTGACTCTTAGCTAATGAAAGTAGTACAGCTTAAATTCCAGAAAAGAGTAAAAACTGAGGTTTTACACAGTGAATAACCTGCTGTGCTGACTGAGTCTGCATAAATGAAAGCTCACCTTGACAGGGGAAAATGAACATATCCCTCCAGCACATACCGTGCGTGATCCTCTGTCTCAGTGTGGACATCTGATTGATAGAAAGGCTTCCCTTCAGACTGATAATGAGCATGGTCTGACTGAGACTCATACTGACCCTGGCTGTTAGCTGGATATTGAGAGTATTGGAAGTCAGAAGTGCACAAAGAAGTGGAGGCAACTATATACTGACTTTCAGCTGTGTCCTGACACCTGAAGTGTGTGTCACTCAAGTGGTTTGGAGATTTATCTCCAGCTTCAAAACAGTTCTCAGTCTGCTCGTATCTGTATTTTGTAGCCGTGGCATCAGTTGTAAACTCGGCATAGACGTCAGTGGCATCCTGCTGTCGGCTGGATTTGCTCTCTACAAAGGCTGGATAGGTGCACTGGTTTTCAGTTCTTTGATCGATGTGATGATAGTTATAGCCATACTGGGTTTGACCCTGAGTTGTGTTCTGTTGTCCGGACCACTGGTATGCAGCATTTTCTTGAGCAGGGTGGGACGACACTTGTGATGTTATGTCTTGGTGTCTTCTTTTAAAGGAAAAAGGGGATAATTGAAGAGAGAGTGGAAAAATATTCAGAATTAATACATACAGAGTCACAGTTATACTTTTTTATCTCTACAATGTTTTTAGTCTGTCCATTCATAAACCAAACACCTAAAAAGTGGAGTGATAATATATCATTAAGAAAATTTGGGGCCCTTGAAGGCTACATTACCCTTTTTTTGTTTGTTTATTTTTCTCTAAACGTGCAAAGACACAAATGCATGTTCATGGGTACCAGGGTGACAAGATTTAAATTTCAGCCATTTTTCTACCAATCAACAGGTGGCGGTAATGTGCCAAAAAACACAAATATGTCTCTGGAAAAGGAAGGAAGCAAAGATGACTATAAAAACTATAGAATAAGCAGAGAAAAATCCAGTTGTTCTTTTTTTTAAGATGTATATTTGCATACATTGATTAGCGCTTAAGGACATTTACATTGTGTTTTGTGAAACTAAACCTAACCCAACAGGACTATTTCATCAGTGTTTAAAATCAGCAATAAAGAGAATGAAATAAAATGTCTTCAACATTGTAGGCCAAAGATATATTTGTAATTCTCTGAAATACAGAACAGGCTCCACTTCATAGACAGTATATTCTATTGATTTATTTACTAAAGAACTATTGAAGCTAAAGGTACCAGTGCATGAATGAACACACGCACACACACACACACACACGCACAATGCTAACACCTTGCAAGAGAGCTAAGGGAGCTGTTTCCATTAGCTGTGGTGGGTCTGCAGCTGTAATGAGGCAGGTAATGCATATCTAATGAGGCATAAACAGATTTATAAACACACTCAAAAACACACAGAGCTGCAGATCAAACCAGGCTGCTAAACACATGAGATATGCATCCATTCACACGCAAGGTTTGCTTCTTTCTCACTCACACTCACATATTATAAACAAACATAGTCCCTTCAGGCTCTTATCCTCTGTCAGTCACTCATCCTTCCATCCGTCCATACACACACCAGACTCTGGTGCTTAGGTGTTCCTTCTGGCTCGTGAGTTCAGTTATGTTCAGTTATCTAAAAGACTTCATTGAGAAAACTTTTGAAACTAAAAGAATTAAGGGAAAGTGAAAGGAAGGAGTGCTGCCTGTGTGTGAGTTGCGTGTGTGTGAATGAGAGAGAGATACAGGTCGGTGTGCGCAGGCATTTTCATTTATTTGCCGTTAGCAGCCTGAGAATAGAAAAGTCTATCAAGTAAAGAAGACAGAGTGCTGCAGAATTACTTCTATATCTTCTCTACTCAACACAAATGAAGTCACCTCTAACTCCGGAGTATTTGGAAAGCATATGCATTTGGATTGTGTTTCTTACCTTAAATCAGGTAAATAATTATCTTGTGAAGCTCCAGTGTTTCCAGGCTGTTGTCCAATAGACCATTTATCCCAATCTTCAGTCCTTATAGGTCGTCCATCACGGTAATCCACTCTGCTCAGTGGAAACCCATCTGTCTTTGGCTCATGTGTTTGTAATCCTGCTTGCTGAAATGAAGACCCTCCAATTAAGTCATCACTAAAGCTCAGCAGGTCTGAAGATGCAAACTCTTGTCTTTCTTCCCTCTCTCTTTGCACTTCTGAAGTCCATTTTGGAAGGACAGCATTCTCTAGTGTGTTGGTTTCCTCATCCTGCTCCTCAACGTCATTTTCCTCTTCCATTAAATCTCCAGAAAATGGTAATCCTAGTCTTTTGTCAATGCAAACACTTGTTTCATTTACTGGGGTGCCAATCAGAGAGCTGGCATGAGAGGCCGAACTGTTGGTAAGCACAGGGGATTGTGGCTCCGACGTGGTTTGGGATGTGTCCTTTCTCCTTAACTGAGCCCCCCAGACTTGGAAGTCACCCAAGGAAGCAGGACATGGAGAAGGAGCGGGTGGCGTCTCCCCGCCTTCGTCTGAATCTTCCATTGAGATCTGTGAGTGGACATAAACCTCCTCTCTGGTTTTCAAGAAGTGATCTGATGGATATCTTAATGATGGAGACACACTGCGGGGCACAATGCTTGACTCACTGTCATAATTTCCTTCTGACTGACTGGAGCTTGTTGGTCTTGAATCAGACTGATGAAAAGCTTCCGAGTCATTTTTCGATTGGCTGGGACTGATAATTTCTGGAACCACGTGACAGTCAGTTGCACTATCACGAGTTGCTTCGTAGGGAGTTGATTCAACAGGTTGATTTTGGTCTGCATTGGGAGCACTGTCAGTTCCTCTGACTTGGTGTAACTTACTTGGCAGTGTTTCTTTGTTATAATTTTGTTTTGCGGCCTGGGCCTGACGTTGCAGTACCGAGGCTGCATATGACAGCATGCTAAATGTCTCCAGGGACTTTTTTGTTGCCTTTGATTGCCTTTCACTCCGTTTAGGTCTGTCAAGGCACTCTCTTGTAGCTTCTTTTACCGTGCCAGATACGATGATGTATTCCATTTCTAGGCCAAGTTCATCTGGACTATCTGTGCAACCACTGTCTGGGTTTTCCATTAGGTCCTTCTCTCCACCAGGACTGGAGCTCAGAGATACAGTTTCTGTTGTTTTTCCATCTACATGTCTTCTGCTCCCATCTGTAGCTCCCACCTGACTTTCTGTGGCATGCTCACCTTCATTGGTCGTCACATAGGCTGGGAATAATGTTTGGTCAGCCTGGATTTGTGGTTCAGCAGCTTCCTCTGGATACTGTGAAATTTGCCGAGTGCCAGCGGAGCAGTTGACCAGAAGAAATGGGGAATGATCTCTGGGTTGCTCTATCCACTCAGTCTCCTCTGATCCTTCTCTGCTTCGGCCACCCATCTCACTGGCTGCCTCAAACAGAAACACTTGGTCGTCTGGCTGTTCTTTATTTGTGATATCTACTCTCTGATCTGTCAGAATGGGTTTGCTCACAGCTATAAAAGGGCTAGACTGCTCCTCAAGCTGTATCATGTCTGCTACAGGGCAGCCAGAGGTGTCAGGGGAGGATGCCAGGCTCCATGTACCTGCTCCTACGTTGTCATATTCAGAGGTGGAGGTCACCATGCCACAGATGGGTAACTGCCACACGTCAGTGCCCTCATAGGTGGATGTGTCATCGTCATCATCTGCAGAGTTCTTGCGACTCTGAGCACCTTGTACATCGATGCCTTCTGTTTCTTCACTCTGCATTGTGCCCTCTGCAGCCTCGATGACTATTTTCACAACTTCAGGCGTCTGCTTAAATGCTTCACATGGATCACTCTTCTCTTCTAAATTGTCTTCTTCTTCCTTTTTGTTGGCATGTGTCCCAACAGTGTCAGTGGCATCCACTGAATCCATGTGACTAAGGTCCTTTCCATTTTCAGGTGCTTCTGGAGTCGTCATTGCGGAAGAGCTGTCTTCCTGTATGGTGGTGTTCCACATCTCCATTCCACCATCTGAGTATCCCAGTGGATTTTCTACAGATGTTCCACCCTTGATATTGGTGTTCAGTCCACAGAAAGAACCAGAGTTTTGAGATAAGTTCTCAGGGGTTGTGAGAGGTGATAAACTGTCATCCCGGATTGTCATATTCCACATATCCAGCGATTCGGGGTAAGACGTGGTGGTCCCGCTATCAGATTTAAGAAATCCTTTCTGTGCAGAGTACGTCCAGAAGTCTAAAAGCTCCATCTGTTGCTCCCTTTTTTTTCTGTGGACCCCCTCGTCCTCTTCTTTAGATGTGTCCGGTGTTAAAGTGTTCAGGATTGTTTTCTTTGTGGCCAAAGCTGCTCTTTCTTGTGCTCCAATAATAGCAGGTTTGCCTCTTCCAGTTAAGTCTTCCTCTGGTGGCGTCAGTTGGAGATCATCCAAAGTAATAGGTTTCCACTCATCCTTCCAGTTTTCATAGCATTCAGTCTGCTCTGTGATCAAACTAAGCTGAGGTTCAAGACTTTTCCCTTTGTGGTGGGAATTCTCTGACTTTAAGATCTCTTGTCTGCTTTCCTTTTCTGTCATGTTACCCACTAAGTCTTTGCCTCCAACTTCTTCTAAAATATTAGGTGGGCTCTCAGAATCTTTGGGTCTATTCCACATGTTATTATCACTTGAGGACAATGCTCCTTGTGTGTCAAAGCCCAGTTCATCCCAGGTCTCCGACAAAGAAGATGACACACTGTCTTTATGCTGTAGGCAATTGATCCTTTCAACAACATCTTCTGGAAAGAACCTGACGCCACAACTGCTGGGTGGGCGGCTACCAACCAGGCTGTTGACCGGGGTTGGAGGGACCACGGTGTCAATCATCTCGTTCCCATGGCTTGAACCGCGGCGATCAATTGAACAATTTCCACTTTCCAGACCTCCCACTGAGTTGGGAGCAGAGAAATCAAGAAAGCTTAGCTCATCGAGCTCTGACAGACTAGAGCTCCCTGCTCTTCTTTCATCTTCATATCCTGTTTCTCCAGAATTTGCCACTTCTCCTCCTACTGGCGTAGACTGGTCACTGCTATGCAGCGGGTCAAAATGAAACAGGTCAAAGTTATCACTCCTGTGTCTGCTCGAGCGGTGTTTCTTCCTCTCTGGTGGGACAGGAGGGGAAAGAGATAACAACCCCAAAGGAGAGGGGTTTCTCAGAAAGAGTCCTCCTGGCCCTGCTGCTGGACCACCACCAGCTATCACCTCACCCACCGGACTGTCATCACTAAGGAAAATCGAACTCTCTTTGGAGGAGCGGCTGCTACGAATGGTGGTCATTCCGCTGTCAGGGCTCACTAGCTCCCCACCGACATTGACTCCTGCACCTCCTGCGTCCTCTTCACCATCTCCCATTACCCTGTTTGCAGGAGATAAAACAAAAGTATGAGTGAACATAATGTTTTCTCTAAAAACTGTAGACATTCAGACATTCTACCTTGCTATTGCCACTGTGTCGCCATTGCCTCCTTCTGCTCTCTCTATATCAGAACCATCCATGTCATTGATGCCAGACGATCCCTGGGAGAACTCCACACTGCCTGCTACTCCGTCTGTGGAAGAAGTCCTACTGCTGGGGTGGCAGGCTAAAACAGAACTACGCCGGTCGACAAAGTCCTTAAGGATGCCCTGGATCTCCTCCACGAGCAGTGGTGGACAACCAGAGGATGCAGAGGTGTTCAGTGGAATATGATAAACCTGAAGACTCTCCAGAGCCTCCAGTTCACCAGAAAGAGACCAGCTGGAGGATTCTTCAAGCTCGGAGCAGATCTGCAATGAGAAGCTTGTTTAAATATACCACCTAATCCTTATTTGATTTAGTTCATCTTTTTGAATGGTTTGATTACTAGATTGAGGCCATATCTTACATATCTGTCTAGTTTCTAGAACAAGCAGTTTGACTACTATGCTTTTCAGTGTTGCTGTTGTATGAAGGAGTATTAGGGCCACATTAAGAAAAAAAAGCATTATTAAAGCATTATTGGTCCTTCTGACCAGATGCAGTTTTAAGCACCCTTATACTTACCCACGCTGTGTTTATGTGCTAAAAGAGAAATCATTTCCTTACAACTAAAGCCGAGTCATTAAATCTTCTACACAAGGCATTTTGTAGAGGGTATAGGAGCCGTGGCAGTTTGCCTTGAAACAACTGTAATCTCCATATTTTGACTTTAGCTTAGTTCAATGTATATGACATAAAACATATCCTAGCGTAATAAGAAAAGTAAAAACAAAACAGGCATTTTTGGACCAGCAAAATTAAAAGGATGAGATGCCAGGTGATTATACACTAATGCTGCACATATTTTAGTTAATAAAAAAACTTGTTTCTGGTCTCCTTCATAAGGTATTTCTTTTGACACATTATTTTCAGAGTCAGGGAAATATTTAAAAAGAAATTAATATTTATTCAATTTACTAAAGACACCATTACAGAGCTGTGAGTATTTAAGAAGCACTTTATGCTTCATTCGTGACATATGATTATTTGTTGCTTCTGATGAATATTTTACCTGTTTCAGGATATCTGTGTTGTTTGAGTAGACAGCCACCTGCTGGCGGGGATGGTGAACTGAATCACTGATGGATAAGAGAACCACAATACCATCGAACCTATGGTGGTGACTGAACGATTTAAGCACATCCAGATAATCATGCCAGTCCTGAAAGTGACAAAAAAGGACAAACATTAAATTTTTACTACTATGTAAAAAAAAAAAAAAAAGTCTTCAAATTAATGATGAACCTTTTCTGTTTTTATATACAGCCACATAGGAAACTTTGTAAGACTCTGCCTTTTATTGCACATATGATTTAATGTAATTTAGTAAAACTTGAGTGGTTTCAGAAAAAAAAAGCCCTTTATCTGTAGCAATGAGAGACGAAGCTGTCAAAGCACACAGAGGGGTAGAGAGACACTTTGTGATTTATTGTTTGGAAATTAACTGTTTGCTCTTAAAACAGCCACCATGCACAGATTATGGTAATTCAGTGACACACACAGTGATTGATGGATGGAAAGTTGCATTAATTAATTGTTTTGTTTGTCAAGGGAACTTGTTTTTTTCTTTCTCTCTGGAATGATTAACAACAATGTTATGGGAACCGTAATTTGCTATGCTATAAAGTGTGCAAAGTGATACTTTTGAAAACATATTTGCTTGATTAATCTAGATTTGCTGTACAACTGTTTGTTTTCTAAAGTTCTCAAAATTGTTGCCGTGCTTATTTAAGTAGAACTTTTTAAACAAAAGAGATATTTAGAGTAAAACTAATAAAGGAAGTTTGACTTTCGTGTGTGTGTCTGCTGCAGACATGAAAACCTATTTCTTCTCGTGTTGCCAGATCGTGTCAGTCCAATGACGTTTCAGCATATGCATTTCTTTGCTGTGCAGTCGGCGTGTGTGTGTGTGTGTGTGGTCCGTCTCACTGCTTAAGCCTGTGCACGCGAGTGTGTGTATTTGTATCGGACCACTGAAAGTGATTGATGAGAGCTTCTGGCGCTGTATCTGCCCAGGCTGTGTCAATATTAACCTGTGAGGATGAGGGGGCCACAATACTCCTCCCACTGTTCCTCCCTCCATCCCTCCATCCTTCTCTCGCTCCACAATATGGCTGCTGTCAGACTCGGGCTCATCAATCCTCACACACACACACAACTGTCACTTCACTGACACTGCCATTTCTCAACACTGATATCCTGATGAGTGCAATGAAGCCTCCCAAGATTCGTTAAAACACACATATTCACTCACATAAGTACAAACACACAAGCAAACGCGCACGTGGCACGAACGCATGCAGACGCACACATGAGTTCACCTGCGCTCGTGTGCTGTGATGCGAGTTTAGGAGCCGACATGAACTGGTGTACGCACATGTGAGATCTAGGAGAGCAATAAAGGCTTCATCATTTATGGTACAATATACACAGAAATGATCAGATGATGCTAGTGAAGCTAAGAGCCAACTGTGTGCATATGCACTCAAAACTACACACACACACACACACACGGAAATATAGTCAGAAAACGAGCAGAGTGCGAATCTCTGCGATAACACGCAGGGCGACAGTCTGTCTGCCATTTGGCTCTTAACTGAGTAAATTACTACTCATATTGCCTGCCCCTCCTCTTTCTCCCTCTGCCACCTCCAGATACACAGATTGCCTTTTCTTATAAATTATCAACATGTTAGATATAAAAACCACTTGCTAACTATCTCCATGAACCTTAGGATATGGACATTGAAACCTGTATTTCATTTGTTGCACTTACCGGTGGCCGCCTTACCTCGAGAAACCTAGTTACTTTAAATCCTTCACTTGACTTGCTTTTAATTTGACTTTTTAGTAACGTGTTTACCAAAAGGTGAAAGTCCTTGTTCTTGTATAGATAGTTTAAATTCACAGTCCTTGCTGTCACTTACTGTAGCATCAGTGAGAAAACTTACTTTACATTCTGAAATGTGAGGTGATCTTAAAATGATGAGCTTGGAAAGTCAGCAGGCACTGAGATATTTAACTGATATTTACGGCCAGTGTTGTGGCTTTTTACTACATGCTTCACTGCAGTTCATTGGGTCATTTTGTATGCTCCTTATTCTTAAGTTCCAGCAATAGACAATTGCACTCAGTGGCACTCAATGGACTACAACTTAAGAAAATCTAAAGCGAAGGCAAACTAAGAAAACTCCAAGCAAAACTCCAATTCTGCAAAAGGAGAAAATACAACAAAATACCATAAACGTGCAGGAAGCACAGAGGGCTATTAGGAGACACAATAAAGTGATGAAGATAGCTGGATAGGACTAATTGTTGCCAAAGTGCAAAATGAGCTTAAGTGGGTTGAATGCTGTTATTCTCCTTCATTCATTATTGTTTCATTTAGGCTTCTATGCTGTTAACTCTGAAGCGTTTCGCAGTGGAGTTTTCTGTATTTGCAGCATGATGCTTTTTTGTGTTTTCCCTAAATGCTGATTATATTCTGTGATGCCGGCAGATCTTTTTGATTATGATTTGTCTATTTGCCAGCATCGCATCGAGCTCTTAAGCGCAGAAGAAAGAAAGAAGGCAAACAACACTTACACCGACAACTGAAGGAAAAATTATGTTGGCGATTGTGTGGTGTCAGCGTAAGCTGTGTGAGCTCCTTTTTTGGTTTAAACCAGCTGTAACATCAAAACTTTGATGATTACTTGTCACACAGTTGACCTGCAACCATTACTATGAATAGTCAAAATAGGGTTGAACCCACGGTTGACACAACATTTTTGAGTACAATTTCTATGCTTTTTCAAAAAAATAAAAATACTTTTTCAATAAACTCAAATGTGTTTTTCTCTCTTTCAACTGTCCTCTTACTTTTTTTGCATCTTAACTCTTTACATCTTCTTCTCAAACTGTTTATAGGCATCTGTTTCTCAGACTAGGCCTTTATCCACACACTTTTCTCTCTCTCTCACACACACACACACACGTTCTCTCTCTCATTGGCTGTCTTTGCTCCACAGGTAGCAAGTCTTTAGCGGCTGCTTGCAGTTCTCCCAACCTGCCGTCATTATGCACAATAGCCTTAGGTACAAAACTCAGGCCTCATAACTCACGCCCCGCGTGCGTAAATTCCCGTGCAAACACAGTCAAAGCAAAAACACATTTCCTGCTGTCGCCAACATCTCCGGCAAAGAATTAATCAAGCGTTCATCCATTTAGGCTCTTTGCATACCCTTTCCGTCAGAACACAGAATGCTAAGAGAGTTGCGAGTTCTTCTCAGGCGATCGTTTCGCCACCCTGATGAATCCATCAAGCGAGGTTTGATTTATACATCTGTCTGTGATCACAGCGGTACAGCTACAGTAAATGGGGTGGCAAGGAGCGAGCTGACACCTCCCTGCTCAAACACACACATGCAAATGCACGCACACATGTGCAGTATATACCACTTGCCACACACACACGCATTGCTGAACTCACACACACGTACACACACACACGCATGTACTCGCATACTAACAGCCATTCACTCTTATTCACACTCCTGCTCACACATGCGTACACAAGAGTATTACTGCTTATGAAGTTTTTGGAAAGACAGAGGGGAAAGGGGAGGGTGGTATGAAAGTTTGCAGAGGAAGAAACCCAAATGTCTTTCAGTCTATCTCATATGGGCCTTCTCCGCATGCTTCATTCACTCAGCTCTAAGTGCGGGGATTTGGGGGCCAAGATGCGAGCACTGAGTCTATAAATGTTTTGTTTTGTTTATTTGTTTGCCCTCAAAGCCTGAGGAAGCCACAGGGGGAGAATGAAAATGGGGAAGAGAAAGATTCAGAAGATTCTTCTTCAGCAGAGATGAGGAAGAAACATCAGCGTAAGATGCTGAAGATGGAGCGGAGACTCTTGTGCTGCATCAAAATGGTTTCAATAAATGCCATATTTTTGTACATGACACAAACAGTATAATGTGCACTGTAGCCAAACAAATTTACATCAAAATATGTATCTTGGAATCTCGTTGATGTGTTTATACCACAAGAGTATTTTTACTATGTAAGAAGATGCAATCTAACACTTAAACTAGTTGGGGGAAAAAACAAAAAAACCATCAAGAAATCCCAGGATACTGTAAATAGAATGCAATCTTTATGCATTCCTTCTTAATATAGGGATGTTTCACATGGCTACAGCACTATGTGCTTTATGAGTCTGCTCACCCAGAAAATCACTACAGCGCAAGAAAGAAAGACACAGAATCCCAGAGAGTAATAGAAAAATAGAGGGGGTGGAGGGGCGGGGCACCCTGGCTTCCTGGTCTTCAATCTTAGTCCCTGGGAGGCCCACCCTGCACCTGCTGTCTCCTAGTGCGTCTCATCAGAAAGGCATTTACTGAGTGCCGTGGCTGCGGGCCCCTTCATTAGCGAGCATAATTATTTGTGCAAGTGGCGTAGGGCAAAACTGGCCCTGCATAAACAAACAGAAGGGCCGGAGGACTGCGAACAAACAACACATTAGAGACAATCAACGTTGCCAAAATGAAACCTAAAGCGCAGCTCAGATGGAGATGGACACGTACGCAAACACAATCAGATAGAACAGAACAAGCAAATCTACCTCAACAACACAAAACATCGCATAAATGAAAACAGGAAAAGTAAACAACATCCAAAATAATGCTAACTCATCGGCACTACTGTGTCAGCTTCTGCGGATGTGAGGCGCTGAGCTGACATCTCGCCATGTTTTTGTTGTTCATGCATTTTTAATTGCAAGTATCTGACAAATAATAACAATGACAACAATAAAATGGCTTTCTGTGTTAATACTAAAGCAAAATTCAAATATCTTATTCATATGCTGCACTAATAAGCAGATATCTGTGTATGAAGCATCCAACGGGCCTATGGATGCTACTGGTGTTTTCTGATGAGTCATCATGACACCCTTTCTTCCAAATATGGTCACACCCAAGATGGCATCAGCTACAATACTTAAAAATCGAGGCTTCAAATCAAGAGTTAAAAAATAGTGGGTGATAAAAGATGGATATGTCCATCTTTTATATACAGCCTTTTCAGGGCACACTGTGCTGACTGTGGAGCTGCTGTGATGAGAGTCCATGGTTCTGTTCTGATTAACCCCACATTGCCCACTTCAGGTAGAAGTGAGTTGCTGTCCCCAGTTAACCCTATAAGGTCTAACCACCTCTTCCCTGAACATAACAACAGCCTGATGGCTTAACCAGAGATTTTATCAACCAGTCTAGCATCTTTTACTAACCCCAACCACAGGAGACGCATCAAAACAATTTTGTTTCACTTTATTTTCCCATCAAAACCAAAAAAGTACATTCTCCAAAATACAGGGTTTGATGACTCATACCTCAAACCTTGTTCATAAGTTAAGGTAACCTGGAATTAGTGAAACTCTTACCCATGGTTACAGATATACACTGTAAAGACTAACTTACTGAACCTTCTGCCACTGCAGGTTGGAAAAATGACAGAAAACAAATAGAGATATAGACATCAACACAATAACAAACACACACACACACACACAGTTAGAGTGGTCACGCGCACACAGAGCATAAGATGAATGATTTTGTTTGCCGCACAGAGAAAACAAATACCATCAAAATAGTTATTGTATCTTGGTGTAACATTAAATTACTGAACTAACATGCAAACTTTTCCTGATCCTCCGAGAAGCGGAAACAGCTTTAAAAAAAAAAAAAAAAGAAAAGAAAGAAAAAGAGAAAAAAAGACGAGGAACTCCAAAACACATTGTACTTCTTAGATATCCATATTAACATATGAAAAAAAAAAATCACATTATTCGCATATTCTCTGAGCGAGTGTACGTCTGTGTGTGGCTGTGGGCTCCTGTCCTTCCCACAGTTCATCAACTCCACAGCATGACAACTCTTCATCTGACCGAAGCTTCATCTGCCAGCGCTAATTTCTGAGCTGTGAAAAGCTCAAACACACACGTGCTGGCATGAATATGCGAATAATGCGTCTTTAGTGGGGGGGGGGGTTTGTGTTCATCAATTTGAGGTCAATGTAAGTGTTACACAAAACTTTTCAAATGATCAAGGTGATGATGCACAACAGCGACGTGCCCTTGAGCAACGCCCTTGACCCCTATGGTGCTGCACTGCTGTGGTGCTTTTTTTACTAGTTGATACAATGCATCTACCACAGAGCATGGAAGCTGTAATGGATGCAAACACAGCATCTCATAAGGAATCTGTACAGCAGGGGTTCTCAAAAATTTGGGGGCTATGGACCTCATACAGGGGAGAAGATTTTCCAAAGACTCCTTCACAACGATCTTGGTAGTCTGAGCTCAGAGTCACTTTATGTTGTGAACTGACTCAAATGTTAATGCTCATCAGCTAACTAGCTGTCTAATAAAGCAAGCTACTGAACAGCTGGAACATCTCGCTATTTTGCAAAAGAAGTGAGTGACAGAAGTGAGTGATGTGGTGCATCTGGATCAGATCTGATTTTTTTTTAATAGTCTTCAAACAACACCAGAGGGAGTAATGGACACAATATGCTCTTTTTATTAGGGTTAATGGTTCCTATTAGAAGTTAGTAAGGGTTTTGCTAAGACCTTTGCTACTGACTGTACACCCCACTCAGAACTATTGTGTTATGTGGGATTTATTGGTGTTCAGTTGTGCAGGTCTTTGGCTGCATAATGAGAGAGACTGTGGGAATTTAACTGACGTAGAGGCTCCAAAGCATGTAGCCCTCTAAAAAGCCTACAGAGCAGGAAGAAGCACAAAAATGTCACATCATAAAGAAAAAACAAACAAACAATGGCAGTGGAAAGTTTTAACTGTTTTTAGCACTTGATTCACACTTGGTTCCAGTGGTTGGTGGTGGTTTTCTCACCAGTACTACCAGAGATGTCTTTCTGTTAAAAGGGAGTTTTTCCTTCCCACTGTCACCAAAGCTCTTGCTCGTTGGGGGTCATCTGATTGTTGGCGTTTTCTCGGTTTTCCCTGCATTATTGTCGGGTCGTTATCTTACAATATAAAGTGCCTTGAGGTAACTGTTCCTGTGATTTGGTCCTATATGAATATAAATGAACTAAATTTAACTTTAGTATAATTTTTTTTTCCTATTGTGTCTATTGTGTTTAATTTTTGTTTTGGTGCTGACCACTAGTGACAGTACACAGCTATAACAGAGGGGGGTTTTCAAAGATTTACATTGCTCCTCCTGATTCCCAGAGCAGCACCATGCTTGGTGCTTTATAGTACACATCACGAAGAAATGTCATGCAGAAAACTAACTCTAATGTCAAAAATATTTAAATAAGGTCGCGCTGCGGCATTTAAATGTAACGTTGCTTCTGTAAGGTGAAGCGCTGAAAAATTCAGATAATTGTTGCTCTTGTGCAGGAGCAGCAGCAGTATTTTATTCTTCTATAGTCAAACACAATAACAGTGTTTGAGAAACCGACAGAAATATTTGCCTTTGTAGTTTCAACTGTAGTGACTCTGAAGGGAGGAAGCTCATTTCGTTTGTACTTTTCTCTTCCTGTAATAGAGGAGCACCCAGACTGACTAATGTATGTTTGTACAGTATACAAAAATACATTAGTCAGTATATACGATGTGTCCGTATCGTTACACCACACACTGCAAGCTTTTTCTT